CGTTCAGGTAAGACAATGTTCGTTCTAACAAATGTTATTAAAAGAATAAAGCTTTTGTGAGCTGTGGCTCACTTCAGCAAATGCATGGAATGGCTAAACTGAAGTAGAATTTAAATTGGGATGAAGTGGAAAGCTTTCCCTTTAGGGATTGGGTAGCAAGCCCATACTTAAATATAGACAACCCAGTCTGAAGCAGATTTTTAAAAGAAAGAAGAACCAACAACACAATGATGCCAACCTGGGAACCAGATCCTGCCACAAACCCAGATACTTATTTTCTCCTCAGATCTACATCAGCAATAAATAGCATCACAGGCTCAACAAGAATCAGTGGATACAATTTTAACATCAGGATTCAAAATAAATTTGAAATAATATTAGGATTTTCAACATTCATGAATGTTCTGTTGAAGATTTTAAAATGATCATTTTGGAAAAATGAAATTTTAACTGCATAATTCAGTAAGAATTACATGACTTTAGAATTCTTACAAGCTTTTATTCTCAGCCTAGGTTATCTGGCAGAATAGTATCTATTAGTAAAATGAATTCCAAGCACATATATGTAGATATGTAATTCAACCTTCATGTACCAAATATATGTACCTTTTGTTATACAGAAATTTAGTTCTGGCTGTTGCCTTGTTTTCGTTTTGTCTACATGACTTTATAAATACAAGGTGACTATTTAGAGAAAGTCTGTTAAAATTCAGTCAGAGAGATGGCAGTGGAAATAGCTTTTGTTGATTTATTGTGTTTCCTAGGAAGTCATTCTATCCTCCATTGCCTTTCTTTTGCTTTGTTCTTCTTTCCTAACATCTATGGATAAAACAGACATTCCAAGGTTATTTTCACTCTACAATATGGGGAATGGTTTAGGATGTCTTCTGATGCAAGTAAATAGAAAAGCATTCATGTGTTCCCCTGTTTATGATTTGACTTTTGCTTCTTTCAATCCAAGATTTTTGCTCTGTAGTAAATTAAAATTGCAGTGTGCCAGAAAAACATCTTTTTTAAAGCCTTGTCTTGTGAATTGAAAGGCATTCTCTAGTAGCTGGCTACTTTGCAATATACATCCATTCATTATCAGTAACATGGAATGGAAAGATTAAAATAAATGAAAATCATATCCCTGGATGACTTTTAAATATTTAATTCTAGTTTAAATTAAAGGGGAAATATTTAGGTTTTTAAATAAAATTGCCAACATTAAATCCTTTTCCTTTTGTGATCATCCTTCCCATATTCAGTGCTATCACCATGTATCTTTTCCTCTCCAATATTTCTATGCCACCATTGAATATACTACTTTAACAATTTAATGTGTGTGTGTGTGTGTGTATGTACACACTCTATGGTATAAGCCAGGAGGATGGTTTACAGTTAGGCCGGTAAAATTTGGACCTGTTGGCAACCTTTGAATTAAATGTTTCCTTTCCAAGTTTACTTTATAGAAGAATTTGCCTCAGTTCAGAATATTGTATAATAAAATAATCTGTCCTTTCACTGTCCTTGCTGTTTTGTCGCGTACAGGAAAGGAGGGACACCAAATGTGCACACAATGGCATTTCCTACTCAGGAAATTGGCTACTCTCAACACTGAATTGAAAAATGTATTAAAAATTCAAGTATAAGCATATGTTTCAGGACATCAGTAAAAATGGTGTGCCTCCATGGTAGAAAAATTCAGCTGAGTTCCAAATTTTAAAGCAATATATAATACAAAACATTTTGGGTACGTGCAAAAAATTGCTTTTGGTAAGATTTTGGTAAAATTTTTGATAGAAACTCTTTCAACACTGGATGTGTGATAAAATGATAATTATTTGCATTCTATTAAAGGAGAAGGAGGCTTAACGGACCATTTCTCTTTTTAGTAAGACAAGCAGAAGACTAACATGACATAGGGAACTAATGTTAAGAGAAGCATTTGACAAAGGGAGAAAATTAAAGAAAACCGGAAAGGAAAGTAGAAGAGAATAGCTGGTATATCTAAAAGGAAAGAGAAATACTTTTGACAGTTCTGGTTACACATTAATGTTTAATTAAAATAGTAACTGCTGATAGTATTTTATTTAATTTAGCAACATACAAAAAAACAGCTGAGATATTGTTCTGCCAGATTTAATATTCATCTCCAGAATAAACCTAAAAGAAATTGTGCTACTTCAGACCAAATAGACCCAATTTCTCACCATGATGGAACAGGAATTTGTTGTATTTTTGCCTGTCCCGTTACTTATTTTTTCAATGCCATATTTAATGACAACGCACTTAAGTACAATTGCCATCTTTCTTGTGAGGATCTAATAGTTCTTAAACAAATCTGGTTGAGATTTTTTTTTTTTTTAAAGCAATCCAGAATGGTATATAGATATTATAGGTATTGTCTTTGGAATTACTGAATTACTTTATAACTGTTGTGGAGCTGAATAGTGAATAAATAACTATTTCAACCATATCTACATACAGTGCAGATTGGAACCATTCATTTAGCAGTCATTCAAAGTTACAGTGACACTGAAAAAGTGACATACAGCTGGTGCTCGCTCGTTTCAGCATCCCGCAATCACATGATCAAAATTCATGTGCTTAGCAATCAGCATGTACAAGTAGTCCTCGACTTACAACAGTTCATTTAGTGGCTGTTCAAAATTACAACAGCATGAAAAAAGTAATTTATGACCATTTTTCACACTTATGACCATTGCAGCATCTCCATGATAATGTGATCAGAATTCAGATGCTTAGCAATTGATTCATATTTATGACAGTTGTTGTGTCTCTGGCTCATGGGATCCTCTTTTACAACTTTCTAACAAGCAAAGTCAATGGGGAAGTCAGATTCACTCAACAGCCATGTTCTTAATTTAACAACTACAGTGATTCACTTAACAACTGTGGCTAAAAAGGTCATAAAGGAGCTTTTTTAGGAGCCTTAGTGGTGCAGCGGACTAAAGTGCTGTTAAGTAGCACTTAGCTGCCAGCTGCCTGCAATTACTGCGAGTTCAAATCTCACCAGGCTCAAGGTTGACTCAGCCTTTCATCCTTCCGAGGTAGATAAAATGAGGACCCGGATTGTGGGGCAATAAGCTGACTTTTTATAAAAAAGAACACCGCTTAGGGAGGACCGAAAGCCCTGCTAAGCAGGTATATACAAAAGTATGAAGGCTATTGCTTAACGCATTGTAAGCCACCCTGAGTCTCTGGAGAAGGGTGGCATATAAATTGAACCAATAAATAAATAATTAATAAATAAAATAGTGGGAAATTCATTTAACAACTGTTTCACTTAGCAACAGAAATTTTTGGCTCAATTGTGGTCATAAGTTGAGGACGACCTGTACTTACGATGGTTTCAGCTTCCTGGGACCATGTAACTGCCATTTGTGACCTTCTTAGCTGACCTCTGACAAGCAAAGTCAATGGGAGAAGTTTAATTCTTTAATAAGTGTGTGTTTCAGTTAACAACTGCAGTGATACACTGAACAACTGTTGCACAAAAGGTCGTAAAATCGGTCATGACTCACTTAATAATCACCTTTCCTAACAGAGGAAATTCTGGTCCCTATTGCAGTCATAAGTTGAAGACCACGTATAACAATTGAGCCCAAAATTTCCATTACTAAACAAGACACTTGCTAATGAGTTACATCTCATTTTATGACCTTTTTGCCACAGTTGCTAAGCGAATCACTGCAGATGTTAAATAAATCATCCAATTGTTAAGTGAATCTTCCTCCATTTATTTTGTTTGTTGGAAGTGGCTGGGAAGCTTACAAATAGTGATCACATGATCCCAGGATAATGCAACTGTCGCAAATATATGCCAGTTACCAAGTGGCCAATTTTGATCACATGACCATTGGGATGCTGCAACAGTGAAAATTAGTCATGAGTCACCATTTTTCAGTGCTGTGGTAACTTTGAATGATCACTAAAAAATAATTGAAAGTTGGGGTTTTACTTAGTTGTATTGGGTTTTATGTTTCTTTGTCCAATGGAGCTATCAAATAATATTTGTCATATCTTGCCTTGTGATTGATGAAGAACAGTGTGTAATGTTTGAGAACAAAAAGGACTGAGATTCCATCAGCCATCAAATCCTGTAGAGTTGAAACACGCTGATGAGTTCTAGAGGTAAAAAAACATTAACAGGTTGTTGTGATGCAAAAACAAAGTTGCTCTAAATAAAACAGGAGGTGAAAATATTGCCCTGGACTCAAAATATTTTATCTTTTTATCATGAACCAAATTTAAAAAGAACTAGTTTGGTCTAATAGTTAAGGAACCAAGTTAGAAAGCGGGAGACCATGAGTTCAAGTCCCACCTTAGCCAACCTTAGAAAACCAATTGGGTGCCTTTTGCCAGTCATTCTCTCTTACCACAACCCACCTCACAGAGTTATTGTGGTAGAGGAAAAAGGCGGGGAAGATTTGTTGGATATGTTTGGGTAAAACTAATAAAGCTAGGATGCAAATAAATAAATAATGTGCAGTGCTAGTTTTCTGTAGTGACTTGAATTCATGCTATACTGGTGGAAAAACTAAATTCCCAATAGAAAACTAAAGGTTTGACATGGCATTTTGTATATTAAATATTAAAATTTTGGGGTTTTTTTCTGGGATTTTTATTGAATTGTGATATATCATATATTTAATTATTACTATTAATGGAGATACAACTTTAAGGATATGCCCGTGCACACATTCATAAATACCTTGAATTTTTACATACCTAATCCTGTTTCTACATTTACATAAAGAACTTAAAAGGCATACACAGTGTACATAATTCTGCTTGTACTTAATATAAAAGTTACTGATGTAACTCTTCAAATATTGTTTACTTACAGTTAGTAAATTTTTTGATCACGAGGAAAAAGTATGATGAAATGAACTTCTCATTTAAGTACAAAGTTCGTATTAGTTATATGATATTAATTGTCTGCTTTTTAACCCTTTCTAATTTTTCTGTCACCTTTCTCTTGCACTGTTTAGGTTTGAAAAGGGACGGATCTACACATTTATTGGGGAAGTAGTTGTTTCTGTAAATCCTTACAAGAATTTGAACATTTATGGCCGTGATACAGTTGAGCAATACAAAGGGCGTGAGTTGTATGAGAGGCCACCTCATCTCTTTGCCATCGCAGATGCGGCATATAAAGCCATGAAGAGGCGATCAAAGGACACATGCATTGTAATATCAGGTGCGTCAGAGGTACCTGCTACCTCCCATCATGGTGATACTTTAAACAAAGCTGGAAGATTAAAGCTAGGTTCTTATATTACATTATAAACCCTAGATCCAGTGGATCCTAAAATCCATAGCCACTTAGTTTACCAAGGTTAAGATGAAATCTGTTCTTCCCCATCCAGAGGCTTACAACCTCCAGACACTGAGAAATATTATATATCAGATGTGATTTGTAGGTTTTTTTTGTAAATATAACCTGTAAAATTTATTTGCCAGATGCTCTCTTGTTCCACTTTATTTTTTATTTTTTAAATCTAGCACTTGTTAGTCCATACTTTTCTTTCCAACTTTTATAAAGAGTTTCAAGGTTTTGCCTAGTTTTCCTCTTGAATTAGAAACTGAGCATGAAGACATAGAGCTTAATATTAATTTCTTAAATGATAAAGAAATTCAAGAAGCTCAAAGTGCACTTGTTCTTTTTAGCTAGCGAAATAGATGAAATTGTGTTTTGATGCCTGTCTTTCATTTGTGCCCTCAGGGGAAAGCGGAGCAGGTAAAACAGAAGCAAGTAAATACATTATGCAGTACATAGCTGCCATTACCAATGCAAGTCAGAGAGCTGAAGTTGAAAGGTAAGGCATTTGCTTTGGAGGGGAAAATGTCTGATTTAATTGAATGCAAAATAATTGCTCCATAGGAAAAAGTAAAATGAAGATGCCACAATAGGATGCAAATGTTTAGCTTCTCAAGAGTTCTGTTAAAAAAAAAAGACAAAAAAAAAAAGAACACATAATACATTGCATCAAATTTTCAAGGTATGTTATGGGGCTTTAATATCGAATAATGGCCTAAATCAGGGTCCTCAAACTACAGTCCGTGGGCTGGGTACGGCCTGCTGACACAATGGATCCAGCCTGCACAGTGGTGGGATTCAGTCCCGCCCCCTGCCCCACCACTCCCACCCACTCCTCGCATGGCTGGCTTTTCCTGGCTGACAGGGCCAGGGGAAGAGGTGCCTCACCCTGCTGCGGCTGCCAGAGGGCCCGGGGGACAGCCAGGGACTGCAAAGGCCCTGTCTGGCAGCAGGGATTCCGCAGCTGGCCCTCCAAGAAACAGGCAAGGTGGCAGCAGCACTTACATCAGCAGCAAGCAGAGGGGCAGGGGCGGGTGAGGCACGTGATATGGATCACACGCCTGCTCCATCCCATGTGGCTGGGACAAGGCATGTGGTTGTCCGATGTATCCAGCCTGCGGGACTGCATTCCTCTCCCCTGTGCCTCTGTCTTCGGCTACAGCTCCCATTGCGGGAGAAGAAAGGTGAGGAGGGTGTGGGGCGGCTGCTGTCTACTCCCTCCTATCTCTTTTGGCTTGCAGTTGGAGATCAGATCACCACTGGTCATCTCCTTGGTCCTCTCACGGGTCTTGCCCTTGGCCTGTACATGAAGTGTGTTCCTCTCACGCACCCAACTGCAGCATTGGGTGCACGAGAGGGGCGCTTAGCCAGCAGACACTGCAGGAAATGCGGGAAAGCCTGGCATTTCCCTGTCCGCTACCAGACAGAACACGTGGCACCCGGCCAGGCTTCCCTGAAGCGTCGTCGGGGGACGGGGTAGGAAGTGGTGCTCACCCCAAGGCTGGAGGAAGAGGGCCTTTGAGCCTCAGGCACCAGTTTGGGTAGCGCCCTGCCAACTCACCCACTCACGCGGAAGGAAGCCTGCTACTCACGAGCCACGCCTTCCCGGAGTCCAGGTAGAAAGGCGCATTCCTCTCGCACACCACCAAGGTTGTCAGCAGCTGGCGCAGGTCCATTAGGCTGCAGCCACTGCGAGTGGGGAAAGCCAGGATTGCACTCCTCCCCACCCATTTCTGCTGGGCCTGGGCAGCCAGGGATCCGATGGGGATCTGGCTTTTCCCACTCATGGTGACGGCAGCCTAATGGACCTGCACAAGCTGCTGACAGCCTCGGTGGTGCACAAGAGGAATGCGCCTTTCTAACTGGCGTCTTCACCTCCTTCAGGCTGCACGGGTCTGCCGAATGGTGGTGGAATTGCCACCCAGGGGCTGCCAGGGGTAGAGACCCCCGATGATGTGCCTCCTTCACTGGGGCTGTCCGGCAGGGAGAGCAACGCCCCACCCTGTCCTGCAAGGCAGCAGCTCCACAGCGTTTTCGGGGTGCTGCCCTGTGATGCAGCTCCTTTAGACAGAGCTCTGAGGCTGCAGTCCTTTCCCTGGACTTAAGGCAGCTTTCTGCCTTGCAGCCCCACCCCCACCCCACTGAATCTCTGTTCCAAGCTCATGCACCTGTTGACGAAGTGGGACTGGTGAGATGCAAGTGAGCTAGGGAGTGGACACAGCAACAGCCGCCGTCTTCTCCCCCCCCCCGCCACTTGGCTGCCCATCTTTTTCCTGCTCAGCTGCCTGAAGGCGGACAGTCATCTCCGCCACTGGACAGGGAGGCGGGAAGGACTGGCTGGCCAGCAGATCAGTGCTGCTGAGCTCCCATCTTGGGGCTTCCTCGCTACATCCACTCCAAGCAATCCCTGCCTGGTCCGATTCTGCCTGCCAGATGTGCAGACCCCTTGCCCGAGCCTGTTGTGCAGGTTCGGCTGGTACGGAGGAAGCTCTGGCCAGCAAGATTCCAAAAGCAGATTGAGACTGCTGCGATGCGAATGGAATGGGATTCAGCAAAGTTTCTCTTCCTCACCCCCATTTGCTCTTGTAGGAGCTGTCTCTTTCCTGACAGAGAGATGAGAGGGACAGAGCGAATGGAATGGAGTGGAGTGGAGTGGAGTGGAGTGGAGTGGAGTGGAATGGAATGGAATGGAATGGAATGGAATGGAATGGAATGGAACGGAGCATGATTTCTATCCCCACCCCCATTTGCTCTTGTAGGAGCTGTCTCTTTCCTGACAGAGAGATGAGAGGGACAGAGCGAATGGAATGGAGTGGAGTGGAGTGGAGTGGAGTGGAATGGAATGGAATGGAATGGAATGGAATGGAATGGAATGGAATGGAACGGAGCATGATTTCTATCCCCCACCCCCATTTGCTCTTGTAGGAGCTGTCTCTTTCCTGACAGAGAGATGAGAGGGACAGAGCGAATGGAATGGAGTGGAGTGGAGTGGAGTGGAGTGGAGTGGATGGAATGGAATGGAATGGAATGGAATTGGAATGGAATGGAACGGAGCATGATTTCTATCCCCCACCCCCATTTACTCTTGTAGGAGCTGTCTCTTTCCTGACAGAGAGATGGGAGGGAGAGAGCGAATGGAATGGAATGGAATGGAATGGAATGGAATGGAATGGAATGGAATGGAATGGAATGGAATGGAATGGAGCATGGTTTCTATCCCCCACCCCCATTTGCTCTTGTAGGAGACGTTTCTTTCCTGACAAGAGAGATGGGAGGGAGAGAGCGAATGGAATGGAATGGAATGGGATTCAGCAAGGTTTGTCTTCTCCATCCCCATTTGCTCTTCTAGGAGAGAGAGAGAGATGGAGGGATGGAGAGGGAGAGAGAGAGATGGATGAATGTCGATTGTAACCTCCTTGGGGCTGAGAAGAATTGCTGCAAAACTGAGTTTTCTGAAGTGGATCGCTAGACTTGTAAACAACTTTAAAAATGATCTAGTAAAAAGAAAAGTCAAACAAAAGCAAATAAAACACTCCCAGGAGGAAAACAAATTAAAGTTTCATTTGTGTGTATTATTTAATGGACTGCTAAATTGGCAAAATGGACTGCTAAATTGGTTGCTCCCACCCAGCCACACCCACCCAGTCATATGACCACCTAGCCATGCCCACCCAGTCACATGGCCACCAAGCTACGCCCATCCAGTCACATGGGGGGGCCCAGCCACACCCACCTAGCCAGTCCGGCCCCCCAACAGTTTGAAGGACTCTGAAGTGGCCCCCTGTTCAAAAAGTTTGAGGACTCCTGGCCTAAATCCTTTAACAGAAACTTTCTGTTGCATAAGAGGTGGCTAAGACAATGCCAACATCCCAAAAAGTAATTGCCCTTGTCTGGCTTATTATCTTCTGAGAATTTTAATGTGTCAGGTTTAAAGTGGATTGAATTTCAGGCAATCTGGATACAACTGCTTTCACTTTCTTCTTGCTAATAGTCAGGACCCTAATCTCAACAATATTATCTATATATTTTGATAGAATGATCTATTCTGTGAAGCCTCTAAGTCTTGAACATAATTTTGGAATTTATAGTTGGCTTCACAGAGAGAGAAGGAGTTTTTAATACCTACAATGATGGGAGTGACTAGACCACTGTATTTCTGCTTTCCTAAACATAGAATGAAGCTTGCTATAGATGAAAATTGAGAATCAAGGATCTATTATTTGCTTGGGATGGCTTTCTGCTGACCACATTTTGAAAGACAGCCTCCTTTAGCCTATAGTAGAACAAAGATGGCCATTAGGTTTCTTACCTATAAAATCATTGTGTCTGACATAGGTGCCTTTACTATTAGTTTTTGGGCATGTGTGTTCTTTAAAGGGTGAAGAACATGCTGCTGAAATCCAACTGTGTTCTGGAAGCTTTTGGCAATGCGAAAACTAACCGTAATGACAACTCCAGCCGCTTTGGAAAATATATGGATATCAATTTTGATTTCAAAGGAGACCCCATAGGTGGACATATCAATAATTACTTGCTGGAAAAGGTAACTAGGGTTTTCATGCTCCTCCACAGATATCTTTCAGAAATTAGTAACATTTACTATATTATAAGCATCTGGATTCATAATAGAAAACTGAAGTGAGTTCTTGGGATAATGCTAAGTATATGAGAAAGTTGGCTTTAACTTTCAAAACTTTCAGTAAATATAATTGTAACAGAGACCATAGTTTTAAATAGATGATCATGTGGTTGTAAGGAAATTTACTATTACATGTTTCATGGCCTGATGGAAACCTCAGTTAAAAATGGAATAGATGATAGGGCAGTTTTTAAGTGCTGTCTAGCTTTCTGTTTTGGGACTATATGCAGAATTATTTTTTTAAAGCAACAGCATTTGTTGCCCTTAAACATCTGTACAGAACATACACTGTATGTTTATCTTCCCTTTTCCCCTCCCCTCACTCTGCTTTGTTACTCTCTCAGAATGATAATCTTGGAATAAGCACTGAAGGTTTGATGATTTAGGAATTACTTTTCAGGTATTCCCCTCACCTCCCAACTTTAAACCATGCAACAGTTTCTGTTTCAAAATGTTACTGTTTATAATAAACTCCCACTTCAGCTGTATCTTGCCTTCTGATATCTGTCTGATTTGCTGAATAAAAATCAATCTTAGATAATCCTATTAAGCTTTCTATCTATTGTAATGGAACAATTTCTGGTTAAACAATTATTCAAAAAAGTCACTTCCAACCCCTCCTTGAAGTTACAATTGCAGCATAAACCTCCCACCCCTCAGTAATGTGACCACATCTCCAGCATTTGACACTTGGTTTGCATTTGCATACTGCAGTCACCACATATATATTTTTTTTACATTTTTCTGCAATAAATCTCTCTTGAATAAATGGACTCATATTTATAACAACCAAATGGTTCACTTAAAAGATTAAGATTAATGAAACCTTAACGAGTAACATTATTGAAGTCCTGCTATTACTTGTCGATCTGATTGATCCCAGAAGGTATTCTACTCTTGGTCATACTGAATAAAGTGTCTTTTCCTCTGGATTATGGCAACAGCCTCATAGGGGCTTCCAGAGTTGTTTAAAAGGCTAGTTGCCCTTTGGAGGGATTGCCACATCACTTCCACTAAAATTGGTTCATTACAAATGGTTGTTATGCCACTGTTGTACTGCAAGTCTCATTATTTGTTTAATTTATTTAAAGGACTTATATAGCTTCCCATCTCTCACATGACTCTAGATGGCTAATAGCCATAGCCAAAGCAATAGCACTTAGACTTATATCTTAGCACTTAGCACTTCATAGTGCTTTTACAGTCCTCTCTAAGCGGTTTACAGAGTCAAAATATTGCCCCCAACAACCTCGGTTCTCATTTTACCCACCTCGGAAGGATGGAAGGCTGAGTCAACCTTGAACCGGTGAAATTTGAACTGCTGTACTGCAGCTAGCAGTCAGCTGAAGTAGCCTGCAGTACTGCACTCTAACCACTGCACCAACTCGTCTCTAGTACTTCAACAGATAAATAAAATATCATCAATATCATACATCATCATCATCTATTATATTGTGTTATATTGTAATAACACAAATTGTGTAACTAGTTCCCATCCCCCTTTAAGCCTTCTGCCTCCCAAGAAATTTATTATTTAAATAGGGCAAGATTAGGTTTAAAAATAGCCTGTTTTCAATATTTCACTTAATGTAAAGTATTTGCTTAGGATAGTACAAATTAAAAAATAAATCGGCAAGTTTATTTGGTAATGTACTTTCCCTGTTCTTCTAGTCCCGGGTGATTGTGCAGCAACTAGGAGAGAGAAACTTTCACTCCTTCTACCAGGTAAGTTGCAACTATGAAATTAGGCACTGTGTGGGTGACCACTTCTAAATTCAGAGGAATGCACCCTACTCTTACAGTATTTATAATGTTCTTCATTGTTTTATCCTATCAGTTTGTTACATCCTTCTTTCTCCCCTAGTTCATTCACAGTGCAAAGGACAAGTCTTTGTATAGCCATTTTGCTGTAGAAGATAATTTATTCCACTCTGAGCTCAAAGACTGGCTCTTCAGATTTCCTTTATCCAAATGTAATGTTACTTGGTGTTTTTATTTTCCTTGGAAGAGAAGATCATACTGGTTCTAGCCTGCAGATGGAAATAATTTCCATATATACTTCATGGTTTTGCCTTCTGTGCCTGCTAGCAATTATGGTAACTGGATGCCTGTCTTGGATACCTCTGAAACAGCTAATAGTGCCTTAGGGTAGCCTTTTACAAAAGACAATGTCTGTTTCTTTTGGAAAGTAGGATACTTCATAAAAGTACAGTATTACTGTACTTTTATGCCAGGCTACCATGTTGATAAAACATCAGTGTTTATAGTTTTACTGGAGAAGTGTGAAGACTGTCCCACTGATTTTATTTATTTGAGAAATGTATATGATTACTTATATTATATAAAACAACCTAGATGGCTAGTAAACCCATAACTAATAAAAACGCAAGATTAAAATTCCATGCATATGCACCAAAGACAAATTCCTTGTGTGTCCAATCACACTTGGCCAATAAAGAATTCTATTCTATTCTATTCTATTCTATTCTATTCTATTCTATTCTATTTTTCAAAATAATAATAATAAAGCTGGGCTCCCTTCCCATTATGCTCCAGTGAAAGAAGAGCCAATTTTCAATGTCCTTTCAGGATAGACATACGCACACTCCAACATATCTTGGTTTAGATGAAACAATGAACATGTTTAAATATTTTGGGATGCTAGCCATTCTGACCCCAGGAGAAAGTTTCCTAATCCTTAAAACAAGTTCTTTAATACGTAGTAGTTTAAGATAGCTCCATTAAAAGTTGCATCTCTTATAACAGGATGAAAAAAGAGGAAAGGAGAAACAGAAGTCTTTAAATGAAGGATGCCCCTTAGCTAAGATTCCAGAAGGAAGATCCTAAAGACAGATCAAGTATCCGTAGCATTGCTGAGTGGTAATGAGTAGCACATAGTTGGGGTTGAACGCCACTTGAAGCATATACTTTTTCCTCCCCAAAATAGCCTTATGTAAGAGAGAATCTAACTTGTCAGGAGTGACTAGTAAAGGAGCAGTTGTTGCAATGCTTGCCTTTTTCACTGTTGAATATTATATTTGTTCAATGTCCTTTATACTGCATGCTTTAGATATGGACTATCCTATCAAGACAGCATAATTTAGATGGTAATAATATTAATAATAACATAGCACCAAAAAGACAATTGATGTAAGGGGTCTTTGCTGCTCTCGGGGCTTGATAATTTCCTTACAGACATTTCAATACCCAAACTAGGTAACATCATCACTGCTAGCGACTAGGATTCATGATGTTGCAGATGTTTCATTTGGATAATGAAAAGTCTGCAAGGGAAAAAAAATCAAGCTTAGAGAGCATCAAGGACCCTCATTTCAACCCTGAGCTATCAAAACTCTCCTTTATCAACACAATTGGTTTAAGTAACTGATTCTTATCTTTTTAGCTTCTTCAAGGAGGCTCTGAGCAGCTTCTGCGATCTTTGAATCTACATAAAGATTTATCTGCATATAGCTATATTAGTGCTGGAACACAACCAAAGGTGAGGAAAAATCATCTTTCCCTTTGAAACTATTTCCATTTGAAACTATTCTATTTCTTATCCATCTGTACATTTGGAGATCTGATTGCATTTGTTTTCTAATATCAGTTTAACCTATCCAATGCTTAAAATAATTTCGATTGGCCAGCTTAAAAACTGCTAAAAATGAATGATCCAGTATATTTCCAATATTAATTGGTCAACTACCAAATCAAATCTTTTATTAAGGTCCCAGACCAGGATTCAAAGGATGAAACATAATAATTATAAGAACTAAAAAATATAAAATATACAAAGTCTGGAAATATACGATCTGGAACGAGCTCCCCCCGGAGATACGGAGGATCCCGGATCTGCGCACCTTCCGTTGCGCGCTCAAGACTTTCTTATTTTATCAAGTTGGCCTGGCCTAAATCTTCTCCCCTTTTAAATGTAAATTTTAATTTGTTTTTAAATTATTGGGTATTTTAAATTTGTCTCAGCCAAATTATTTAATTCGTTTTTATTCTATTTTAAATTTTTGTATTTATGTGTTTTATTCTGTGGCTGTTGACTATTCTGAGTCCTTCAGGAGTAGGGCGGTATAGAAATCCAATAAAATAAATAAATAAAATAAAATAAGTCAATTACATCTTTAGCAAACTTTCCAGGGCATTCTGAGGAATCTTTTACAGTATCTGATTTCTTTTAGATGAAAAAACTAAAAATATATAATCTCATTCAGCAATTCCAAGGCCACATTTTAACAGCAAAATGTATGGCTAATTTTATAGCAAAATGGCTGAAAGATTTTATTGTGTAATTTATTTTCATTATTACTAAAACTCTGATTCCTGCAATCTTTAAATAGTGTACCATAGGACAGGTTTTGAACCAGGATACCTCAAATGGGCTAACATATACAACGTGTCCAAAATAATGACTTCAGTGTAATTGAAATTTGACAAATTTTATAAAACATTTTATACCATAGAACAGTTTATGACATAACGCAAAATGTCATAAAACATTTCCTGCACTATACAGTTCAACATTGGCTAATTTCAAGACACATAAAACTCTGAATGTATCCCAGCTTTTCAAGTTAAGGCATTGCATTAGAAGCTCTGTCACTGTTGCAGTCGTTGAGGAATCTGGTAAGGAAATATCTCCGAAAAGCTGACCCAAAAGATTATGCGTTATCTAATTATGACTATGAATGTGGAATTGAATTAGATATGTAACAGTGCTCTGGATATTACAGGTAGTCCTTCACTTAACAACAGATCATTTAGTGACTGTTCAAAGTTACAATACCTCTGAAAATAGTGACTTATGACCATTTTTCACACTTATGACCGTTGCAGCATCCCCAATGGTCATGTAATAAAAATTCAGACGTATGACAATTGGTTCAAATTTATGACACTTGCTGTCCCAGGTTATGTGATCACCTGACAAGCAAAATTCTGACAAGCTTCTGACAATTTTGCTTCTGACAAGCAAAATCCAGTGGGGAAGCCAGATTCACTTAACAACTGTGTAACTAACTTAACAACTGCAGTGATTCACTTAACAACTGTGGCAAAAAAGTTCGTAAAACAAGACAAAAGTCACTTACATTTCTCTTAGCAACAGAAATTTTGGACTCAATTCTGATTGTAAGTCAAGGACTACCTGTATTTATTTATTTATTTATTTTATTTGTTCCTATTTCTATACCGCCCTTCTCCAAATAGGACTCAGGGCGGTGAACAGCCAAAGTAAAAAACAGTACATACAAAATTTAAAAGCAGTTTAAAATAATTAAATATTTTGGCCGTAAATTAAAACAACCCAATTTAAAATCAATTTAAAATTTAACTCAAGCCAGCATCATACCTTACCTTACCTGTATTATATTGCATAAAATTACTTATTTTTATTTGGAATTCTGTGCTATGTTCTTTTTTGACAACAATAACAAAAAAAGTTTCCAAATTTGGCCAAATTGGTTTAAAATTCTCCTTGCCATTTTTTTTATTGGGGAAAAAATTCAAATGTTCAGCTCAAATGTTACTGCGGGCCAGCTATCAACTTTATGTTGCCAGGTATTTATCTTCAATTCCTAATTAACATTATCTTGTTTTGTATGTTTGGCCTTGGCTAGCAGGAAAGGATGATAATTTATATTCTCTTTTGCAGCTGTGATTTACTCCTTTTTTACTTGTTTTCTTCCAAGCCCCCCCCCCCCTTTCCCCCCAGGGTTTTTTTATTATTATTTGGATTCATTACTTTAATAGATTAAATAGACTTTTTCTCTTGCTTTTCTTTTTCCTATCAGCTAGTTCATGTAATATTTTTTTACTCCTATTACTAATACTTTATTCTTTGTCTTGGCTGAAATATTCCTTCAGCTTTCCCATGTAGAGATGAGTCTTATTTTCCCTTGTTTAACATTGTATTCTTAGTTAAAGCAAGAGAGTGACTTCATGTTTTTGTTTGTTTCTTTTTTAGTGTGCCATTAATGACAGTGCAGATTTCAAAGCTGTTGCTGATGCAATGAAAGTGATTGGGTTTGGACCAGAAGAGGTTCAAACGGTGTACAAAATCCTTGCTACCATTCTGCATTTGGTAAGTGGATCTCTCTCCTGTTAGACTTATGGAAAGAAAGGTGTGTTGTAAGGTTATATGAGGTACATCAGGGACAAGAAGGTAATAGTTACGTTTTGCATGTATACATGCATATTTATTTGGGTCAGAAACTTTAATTCTATTTAAATATATTAAAGATCATAGACATTCAGATTCCAGGTTTATTTCTAAAGTTAGGCAAGCTAATAGAATGAATCAGATTTCCATGGTTATAAAAAAATGCAGGTACTCCTTGACTTACAAGTGTTCACTTAGCCATTTTTCGAAGTTACGATGTTGCTGACAACTTACGCTTACAACCATCCACACAGTCACATGAATACAATCTGGGCATTTGGCGACCAATTCACATTTATAACAGTTGCAGTTTCTTGGAGTCACATGATCGACATTTGCAGCCTTCCCAGCCAGCTTTCAACAAGCAAAGTCAATGGGGAAGCCAGCAGAGAACGTTACAAGTTGCAATTATGTGTTATCTCAGTTAACAACCTCAGCGATTCACTTAAATAGCTCAGGGCCAGGTTATCTTCGAGACCGCCTTCTACCACATAGCTCCTAGCAACCGGTAAGATCCCACAGAGTTGGTCTCCTCCGGGTCCCGTCAGCTAAACAATGCCGGCTGGCGGGCCTGTGGGGCTTTTTCTGTGGCTGCCCCAGCTCTCTGGAACCAATTACCTCCTGAGGTCCGGACCACCCCCACCCTATTGGCCTTCCGAAAAGCAGTGAAGACCTAGCTTTTCTGGCAGGCTTGGGGCTGTTGATCTCACTGTTGCGATCTTGTGAGATCCGGCCATGAATGGTGTGAATGGGTTTTAATGTTTTAATGTTTAAATGTTTTTATAATGGTGTTTTTTTTTTAATGCATTGTAAGCCACCCTGAGTCTCCGGAGAAACGCGGCATATAAATTGAACTAATAAATAAATAATAAATAAATAAATAAATGGCCACATGTGTGGTCAAGTGATGCCTTACTTAACCATTATACCTCTGAATCATGAGTTTTCTGGTCTAATTGTGGTTGTAAGTCAATGATGACTTGTAGAAACTTTCAATGTTCTTTAGTGGATATGTTATTTTGTTAATTTTAATAAGTAAGGTGTAACTTTCCCAATATTATCAGTAAAACAATGTATCAGGAATTTGGTTCCCTAACAAAAAATGCTTTAGTTTGAGATAGAGATGGACTAGCTATTATCCTAGTTTGGGATGAATCAAGGAAATAGCCAGAGTTTTCAAGTAGATACAATGTCTAAATTGTGCTTGTTGCTGAAATTGTTGAGGAAATGAACAAGCTTCTTCCATATTTTCTCCAGGGCAACTTGAAATTTTCTGTGGATGGTGAAACACCAGTGATTGAAAATGGCAAGCTACTATCTGTCATTGCAGATCTGCTCTCAACTAAAGCTGATATGGTAGAGAAGGCTCTGCTTTTTCGAACTGTAGCTACTGGTCGTGATATCATTGATAAGCAACACACAGAGCAAGAAGCCACTTACGCCAAAAATGCATTTGCAAAGGTGAATATAGATTCCATCCTATCAGTGTGAAGTCTACCTTTTTGGTTTGATATCTTCATTTCTAAGTGAAAGTTAATATGATTGATTCAAAAAGTTCAAAAGTAGCCACACAAATAAATCCACACATAAATTATCACTTGCAATTCATGAACAATTTATGTAAGAAAGGAAAAAGGTGACTTTCTCTCCAATTATCAAAAATATTCTGCCTGTGATCAGCAAGTGCCTTATTTCTTGTGACCAGAAATCAAACTATTGTTTGAAATTTGTTTGACTTGCCAGTTATCTTTGGGAGGCTAGTGATTGGAATTCTCTGGAGATTTATGAAGTCTTTGGAATTCCCAAAGTTTATGGATGATGTAAAAGTCATACTATGAGAAAGTGTGAGATAGGATATGAGAAGACAAGTATATGTTGTGGTGTGCATGGAGATTGGAATGCACACACTTGTAGCTACTATCCAATGAAACACGTATATCATCAGTGAAGTTAAGACGTTGGTGGAGGAAGAATCTGGAACTGGCTGACTTGTTTAATGAACTAAATGTCCTGAAAATAACCCCATTTCAATTTTAATAATGTTACAACAAAAGAACAGCTTTATTTGCAGCTTATTTGTTTAAGTCTCATAAGATTTTTACTGCTGAATAGGTTAAAACTGGATTATTCCCAGTTTTCTTTTATAAGGCTACAGTGACCTAATACAAAAATACAGGCTTACTAAATCTGGGTTCTAAACCAGGAAATAAAATTGATGATGTACTTTGGTTTGTAGGCAATATATGAGCGCCTTTTCTGCTGGATTGTGATGCATATCAATGATGGGATTGCAGTGAAAGATTACAACAGCACTGTTCACGGCAAAAACACAGTGATTGGAGTTCTTGATATCTATGGCTTTGAGATCTTTGACAATAACAGGTGAAATATCTTGAGACAGTCAAGCATATATTGGTTCATAGGAGGATTTAAGACATTATTTACTGATTTTTCCTTTTATAGTTTTGAACAATTCTGCATTAACTACTGCAATGAGAAGTTGCAACAGCTCTTCATACAACTTGTTTTGAAGCAAGAACAGGAAGAATATCAGCGAGAGGGGATTCCTTGGAAGCATGTGAGTAGATTTACACTGTCTGCTCAGAAACGGTCAGTGGTTACCCCACCCCCAAATTAAGATTTAAAATGCACTATCATATGGGGAGGGGGATTCAGTATGCTTATTTAAAACATCAAATCTAAAGGACACAACCACTAGAAAACCAGTTAATAAAGCCTGCAAAAGCTGTGAAGGCAAAGACTGAAAATTGAAAGCAGACAAATTTACCCAGTTAAGAAGGTAAAGAAAAGGGATAGTTTTCAAGAAAAGCTATTTCTGTTATAACTGGATTTGAGGAAAGGGATAGACATGTAGAACTTCAAGGAAGACTTTTTCAGCTATTATATAGGCTAAGTGAGACCGTAGAGAAATAATCTTTTAAATACTTTGATCCCAAGACAAGGTTATAAAGATTATAATCAGAACTCTGAGTTATGCCTGGAAGCAGACTGATAAGCAAGGCAGCTGCAATATCAATGGTATAATAGACTATGATCTTTGAGAACACTCTCTGCTCCTGCAGCCATCTATTTATGGATATATATTCATGAATACAGAATAGCAATAGTACTTAGAATTATATACTGCTTCACAGTGCTTCACAGCCCTCTCGAAGCGGTTTACTGAGTCAGCATATTGCCCTTAATAATCTGGGTCCTCATTTTACCGACGTCAGAAGGATGAAAGGCTGAGTCAACGTTGAGCCGGTCAGAATTGAACTGCTGGTAGCTGGCAGTCAGCAGAAATAGCCTGCAGTACTGCGCCATCACAGCTCAGAATATTTCTGGATTAATCTCCCTGTCCACCAAACTAAATGTGATCAACTCCTTTCAGATCCCATCCCTATTGGATTGTTATCTAATGGGGCCTTGAAAATAGGCATTTTTAATAGTTGCCTATTTTCTTTGAACTTCTTCCTGGCAGAGGTGCAGTCAGCTTCATCTCTCTTAGGCTTTAGGAAAATTGTGAAGATTTATCTGTTTCAACTTGCATAGGAAGAGAGTATATTATAATTGAAGGTGAGGTTCATGTGTGCATGTCATTTGTATTTTTAAAATCTTCCTTGAGCTTTCATTGTATCTGGAATTGCATGTGTTTGGAAACATTACATATTGAAATTGTTAGCTATGTAGAATCTTGAGAATGAACAAAATACAAGCAAAATCAATATTTTGTGCCAAATTTAACTTCTAATGGGTTTTCAAGGAATGTCCCATGTAGAATTTATTACAATAGTCTAATAAAAAAAAGAATAGGTCATCTATCACAGGTTGGTGTACTCCAATAATAGTTATCATTAAATCATGATTGAGTGAGGACTATTGCTATATAATGTAGTTGCTTCTTCAAAGAAATTGCAAGTACATCTAGCTTTGTTTAAATAACAACCTCTGGCTGATCCTGATTCTCCTGCTTCAGGATACCCATATTTAAACACAAGATGGGAAAAATGTACCTGCATACTGATGTTATCTTCCCCTAAATCTCTGGGATATAGTGCATTTCTCAATAGTTTTAGTACATAAAAAAATGATATCCTTGTATGATGCCATGGTACAATGCAGATTATATCAAGCCAAAATTCCCAGTATTGCCTTTGAAGACTGATTTATCAGGAAGTTTTGAATTACTATAAAATGATGCTCTATACCCACCAGTCAGCTCAGGTTGGTCAATGACATACTAAATAGAATCCAAAACCACAGAACCAGCAGCGGCTTATTCACTCTGTCTAGTTCTCCATTCCCCAATCCCCAAAATAATCAAGGCCTGAACCTAATGAAAATAGACTCAGACAATCTGTTTGTTTAGATAACCTTTGCAATACCAAACAACACTCTATGATCAAATTAATAGATATCTACTTCTTAGAATCAGAGCAGAAGGGGGAGATATTACTTATTTCAGGCAGGACAAAAATATAATCACTGCCCGTGTATTTAATGAAACAGAGATTAGCAATGCCCCCTATAATCAGCAACAACTAGTGGAGTAAAATCCACAGGGACTCCGTATATTTAATAATTTTTCCCAAGATTCTGAGACTGCACTCTAACTTTGGTAAAGTAGAGGGTTTCTACCTTTAATGTTATTGGTATAAAGTATAAAAAGGAGATAAAACTTGGAATATACATTTACCATCTCAACCACATAGAATACCATATCAATACTTTTTTATTCTTCAGATATTTGTAGATTTAGAAAGCAGTTTCAAAATGTTGCTGAATAGTTTGTCTTAAAACTGTCTAAAATATTGTGTATGAATTTAGAATAAATCTCACTGAGTTTCAAAATAATTTAAACTTATACCTCCTCATTTCTTTTCGTATTACTAATTCTAGTAGCGCAGTGTACTTTTCCTCATGAATTTCTCTTTAGTATTTGTTCTCAAATATTCTGTAGATTGACTACTTCAACAACCAGATTATTGTTGATCTTGTGGAGCTGCAACACAAGGGAATCATAGCCAATTTGGATGATGCGTGCATGAATGTTGGAAAAGTCACAGATGAAATATTCCTGGAGGCTCTTAATAAGAAGTTGGGCAAGCATGCTCACTTTTCCAGCAGAAAGGTATTTTTGTCTATTTTGGCATTAACTATAATTCTGGCACTAGACTAATTTAAGCTTTTTTTTTTTTACTTAATTAGCATTGAAATGTTTTATATGGTCCTTTCTTAATTGAAACAGATCAGTTTGCACAAAATAGTCATTTAGCTTCATATTATATCACTGCTTCTAAACATGCCTAGTTTAGGCATGAAAAGCATAGTTTCAGGGTTTATGACTAATTGGCAGGGCTGGATTTAGATGAAAAGAGACCCTAGGCTATTCCACTTATGAGGCCCTTTCACCTATAGTGAAAGTGTAATTTTAATTTTGCTAACAATTTGAATGTAGGCCCCTCTTGATCTTGAGGCCCTAGGCTGAAGCCTAGTTAGCCTATAGGAAAATCCGGCCCTGCTAATTGGGTTTTTTTCTTAAAGCATTTTTCCTCCCGGAAAGGATCAAAGAACAGTGTACAATTTAAATTGAAGTCTCTAAAAACACCGTACAAAAAAACAAAACAAAAGATCATAAAAAATAAATCCACACAATATTTTCTTTATTATCAAGTTGACCAAGTCATATTATCAAGTTCAGCAAGTGCCATTTCATCAGAGTGGAAGACTGCTTTCTCTCTGATGGGCTCAGAGTGTAGCAATATGGAAGAAAGCTCATAACTAGCCCAATGCTGCCTCATCCATTTTCCCTTCTTCATGGTGTCTCATTCAGTATATATTTAATCCTATTGGGATTTTAAGAACTAGAACATACTTTATAATCCACATTAAGCCATAAACTTGTAGGTGTTATGGCTGAGTTGAAAATACATGAATTTTCAGTGCATCCCATTCCATCTATATGTGGATCTGACTTTGATGATTTGGGGCTCAAACTGAATTATAGCATTTGTTGGTTGATATTGTTATGGTGACGTTTGTTGGAGGAAGGAACCAATTGGCACATACAGAATGCATAGCTAAGATTTACAGATTGAGAGATTTAAAAAATCTCAAACCTATGGGTTGAAGTATTCCTCTGCTATAAATAATCTTTAAAATTGTTTCCAAAGGGGAAAAAAATTAATATCCAGCAGAGGGAGCCATAGACTTTTCAATGTTAAAGAGAAAAACAGAAGCATGAAGCTGGCTAGACAGTGATGTCATTTATAACCAATAGGAGCCCAGTTTAAATTCATGTAATGTTTCCTAAGCAAGTAAGAGCAGAGAATATGGAGTATAGGTTTTTATTTCAGAAAGGTGAAGAGATTCCTTTTGAAACCATAATCGAACAATATTTTTATTAGAAGCAAATAGAATGCAACAAAAGCAAATTGTTAGACTTGTTCAAAAGGCTATTTGTTACCCAAAACACTGGGAAAGGGGAGTATTAAAGGAAAATGCTAGCTTTGCTGAAGCCACAAAGTCTTCATTTGGTCATATCCATAAAATAGAGTGTAAGATATAATTGCTGGTTTAAACAGATATTACTTAATACTAGACAGATTTCAGGTTGCCCTTAGGGTTGTTAGGTCTGCCTCTAGGATTGTTAACAACTAAGAATAGTTAATCTGTTTTTGAAAGTACACCAATTAACAGTTAATAGATTCTATCTTCTAAATAAAATATAGAGATCAAGCACTTTTTCGTTATTAACAAATTTAAAGTGGTCTCATTTTTACATTCAGAAATAGTAAAGTTCTTTGTGAATTGTATCACTTAGGGAGTACATAGCACAGTCACAGTTTTACCCATTATTTGCTTGCTTTATAAACATAGAAAGCCACTAGAAAAAATAATAGTAATAGTAATAATAATAATAATAACAACAACAACAACAACTTTCATTGCAAATGCGATGAAGCACTGGAAAACAGAACTGTTTATTGGAAGTGAAAGCTACGGATTGATCAACATCAAAAGAGGAATTTTCCAGGGTGATTCTTTGTCACCTCTGCTGTTCATCATCGCCATGACCCCTCTGCCAACAATTTTACAGAAAACTAATCTGGGTTATCAAACTACTAAAAATTCACAAAAAATCTCTCATCTGCTGTACATGGATGACCTGAAGTTATACGGAAAATCAGAAATTGAAATCCAGTCACTGACCAATACAATTCGAATTTTCAGCACTGACATCAGCATGGAGTTCTGCCTGGACAAATGTGCCATAGTGGCACTAGAAGAAAGGGAAGATTGTAGAAAGTAATGGAATTGAAATGCCCAATGGACAAACCATCAAGTGCCACCAACCTGAAGCCTACAAATACCTGGGCATACTGCAGTTGGACAACATCAAGCATGGGCAAGTGAAAATGTGGTCAGCAAAGAATACATACAAAGGGTCAGGAAACTTATAAAAAGCAAACTGAATGGCGGTAACACCATCAAGGCTATAAATACCTGGGCCATACCCGTCATCAGATATACTGCTGGGATTGTAAACTGGACACAGGCAGAGCTGGACAGCCTGGATAGGAAAACAAGAAAACTGATGACCATACTCTATGTGCTGCACCCACGTAGTGATGTCGACAGGCTATATTTGCCCAGAAAAGCAGGCGGCAGAGGACTTCTGAAAGTGAAGCAGATAGTCGAAGAAAAGAAGCATGCTCTGGCAGATTATGTGAAAGACAATGTTGAACCAGCTCTGATGGAGGTCAACAAGAGGAAGCTTCTCAAAGTGTAGCAAACCAAGACAGAATATAGGAAAACAGCGATGCAAACTCGGGCTAACAGCTGGTGAAACAAAGCACTGTATGGACAATTGCTTGAGAAGATCCAAGGAAAAGTAGATAAGGAAAAGACCTGGTTATGGCTGACCAACGGAACCCTGGAGAAAGAAACAGAAGGCCTGATTTTTGCAGCCCAGGAACAAGCCATCGGAATGAATCTAATCAAAGCCAGAATAGAAAAATCTGCTGATGACCCCAAATGCAGACTCTGCAAAGAAGCGGATGAAACCATTGATCACATACTGAGCGGTTGCAAGACAATAGCTCAGACTGACTACAAACAACATCACAACACAGTCGCTCAGATGGTCCACTGGAACTTGTGTCACAACTACCATCTGCCTGTAGCAAAGAACTGGTGGAATCATAAGCCTGAAAAAGTGGTCGAAAACGAGCATGCAAAACTACTGTGGGACTTCTGAATACAGACTGACAAAGTTTTGGAACACAATACCCCAGTTATCACAATTGTGGAGAAGAAAAAAGTGTGGATCGTCGACATTGCCATACCTGGTGACAAGAGAATCGATGAGAAAAAACTTGAAAAAGTCACCAGATATCAGGACTTGAGAATCAAATTGCAGAGACTCTGGCATAAACCAATGCAGGTGGTTCCAGTGGTACTTGGCACACTGGGTGGTGTGCCTAAAGACCTAGGCAAGCACTTAAAAACAATTGGCGCTGACAAGATCATCATTGGTCAGCTGCAGAAGGTCACCTTACTGGGATCTGCTCGCATAATCCGCCGATACATCATGCAGTCCTAAACACTTGGGAAGTGTTCGACTAGTGATTTGAAATACGAAATCCAGCATGGTTATCTTGTTTGCTGTGTATACTGTCAAGTTTGTGTATAATAATAATAATCCACTGGTCATTATATTAAAAATACAACTTGCCTGTATCCAAAAAGTCATGGGAACATAAAGTGGAAAAAGTTATAGAAAATGAGAAGGTGAAAATCTTGTGGGACTTTCGAATACAGACAGATTGTCACTTGGAACACAACATGCCAGATATCACAGTTGTCGAAAACCGAAACGTACAATTTATTGACATCGCGGTACCAGGAGATGCCAGAGTCAAAGAAAAAGAACTGGAAAAAAATCATCAAATATCGCGACCTGGCCATCGAAATCATGGCTATGGATGAAACATGTAACAGTGATACCCATTGTCATCAGGGCACTTGGCACCATGTCCAAGAATTTTATAAGATACATCAACAAATTGCAGCTTCCTGCAATAACACCAGTGGAATTGCAAAAAACTGCACTATTTGGAACATCGTACATCTTAAGAAGGTACCTAGGACGCTGGCAGCAACCCGTATCAACCATTAGCACTAATCAGTGGTATTTGTGATGCATTTTTGAATGTTCAGTTGACTGAGTTTTATGTTTAATGAATAAAGTAAATAATAATAATAATAATAATAATAATAATAATAATAATAATAATAATAATAAATCATCTAGAACTTCATAAGTTGAATCAAAAGACAAGAAAACTAATGATAGTGCATATGCTCTTCACCCAAAAAGTGATATTGATCAATTGTACTTGCCAAGATCTCAGGGGGGCAGAGACTCATATAAGTGAAGCAAACTCTGGAAGAGGAAAAACTCCACTTAAATGACTACATAAGAAAAGCAAAAGAGCCTCTGCTGAAAGAGATGAACAACGGAAACCTCAACAAATGCCATTTATGCAATGAGAAAGATGAAACAGTGGATTACCTTATCAGTGGCTGCAGCAAAATCTCACAGACTGATTTTCTACAACAATATGATCAAGTTGCCAAAATCATACACTGGAAGCTTTGCCAGAAGTTTGAATTTAAATGCAGCAAAAATTACTGGGAACACTAAATTGAAAAGTTCTTTAAAATGAGCAAGTCAAGATCCTGTGACACTTTTGGATACAAATAGACAGACATCTGGCCCACAACATGCCTGACATCACTATTGTGGAAAAGAAAAGGGTCTGGTTCATTGATATTATAATGCCAGGTGATATATGAATTGAAGAGAAACAGCTAGAAAAAATAATAAAATATCATGGTTTGCAGATTGAACTTGAGCAATATGGAGGAAGAAATCAATGATTCTCTAGTAATAGGAGCCCTTGGAGCAATAGTCAAAGGGTCGCCTAAATACATGGAAATTTTGAATTTATTAGACCTGAATATCCTAACTGCAAAAAAATCACCATACTTGGAACTGCCTATATACTCAGATGCTACCTTAACAGCTGTTAGGTCTTTGTTCAGGACTTGAAATGTTAAGTTTTAATGAATAAAGTGAAGAAGAAGGAGAAGAAGAGGAGGAGGAGGAGGAGGTGGAGGTAGTAGTAGTGCTGTATTGGAAGATCTGCAAGAAATATCATTTGCCTGCAAGCAAGAACTGGCAGAACCATAAAATAGAGAAAGTCATAAAAAATGAAGAAGCTAAATTGCTCTGGGACTTAAGAATTCAAACAGACAGGCACCTACTGTCTGTTACTTAACAATTGTTAATAAGAAAAATAAAAAAAATCTGGATAGTCTGAAGAAACAGACTCAGGCTCAACCCATCCAAGACTGAGTGGCTATGGTTTCCGGCGTCCCAATATAGTCAGTTGGTGCCATCACTGACTATTGGTGGCGAGTCATTGGCCCCCACGGAGAGGGCTCGCAACTTGGGTGTCTTCCTGGATTCACGGCTGTCTTTAGAAGAGCATTTGACGGCTGTGGCTGGGAGGACTTTTTATCAGCTTTGCCTGATCCACCAGTTGCGTCCTTTTCTGGATCGGGACTCCTTACACATGGTCACTCATGCCCTTGTCACTTCCCGCCTGGACTACTGTAGTGCTCTCTACATGGGGCTCCCCTTGAGGAGCACCCGGAGGCTCCAACTGGTGCAGAGTGCGGCCGCGCGGGTGGTTATGGGAGCGATGTGGCATTCCCATGTAACATCTCTCCTGCGTGAGCTGCACTGGCTCCTGGTGGTCTTCCGGGTGCGCTTCAGGGTTTTGGTTATCACCTTTAGAGCGCTCCATGGCTTAGGACCCGGGTACTTACGGGACCGCCTGCTGCCACCAGTAGCCTCTCACCAGCCAGTATGCTCTCATAGAGAGGGGCTCCTCAGGGTGCCGTTGGCCAAACAGTATCGACTGGCGGCCCCCAGGGGAAGAGCCTTCTCTGTGGGGGCACCTGCTATCTGGAATGAGTTCCCTCCGGAGATAGAGAGGATCCCGGATTTACGCACCTTCCGCCGTGCCCTCAAGGCCTTTTTATTCCAACAGGCTAGCCTGGCCTAATCTCCCTTTTTAATTGTAAATTTTAAATTTGTCTAAACTTTAGGGGTGTTTTAATCTGTTCTGGGCCAAATTTATTTAATTAGGTTTTTATACTGTTTTTAAATGTTGTAATCTGTGTGTTTTATCTCTTGGCTGTTCACTGCCCTGAGTCCTTCAGGAGTAGGGCGGTATATAAATCTAATTAAATAAATAAATAAATAAATAGTGGACCTGGCAGTATCTGGAGACAGCAGAATAGAAGAAAAAGAACTAGAAAAGATCATCAAATGCAAAGATCTACAAATAGAAATAGAATGACTGTGGCAAAAGTAAGCAAAGATAGTTGCAATAGTAATAGTGCCTTGAGTGCAATCCCAAGACAACTGGAGCACTGGTGGGTTTCTCCCGGTTCAGTCCGGTTCGGGTGAGCCGGTAGCGGTGACGATATGATGTCACCGAACCGGTTCTTCCCCCTGCCCTCCCCCCCACCTACGTTATTCTTACCTTTTATTTGGTCCCACCCCCAATCTATTGCTGCCTCCTGAGTCCCAGCTGATGACTAGAGGGAAAAAAACTGTTTAAATTCTTGCCGCGGGGCTTCAAAGGGCCATCCTACAGCTGATCAGTGTTAAAAGCAAACAAATGAGTCGGGTCGTAAGTGCGAGGACTGGGGATAAGTGTGAGGACTGGTCGTAAGTGTGAGGACCTTCCAGAAATGACTCTGACCAGCTAGCCACGCCCACCTAGTCACATGACCTACAAGCCACACCCACAAAATAAGCCACGCCCACAGAACCGGTAGTAAAAAAATTTAGAACCCACCCCTGAACTGGAGCACCACTTGAACACTACTGGCATTGACAAATTCACCATCAGTCAGTTGCAAAAGGCAGCTTTACTCGGAACAGCTTCCATCCTGCGGTGATATCTGTAACACCATTGAACATTTACATCTGCCTATCTCAGGTCCTTGGAAAGGGCTTGATAGGTAGACAGAAATGCCAAATCCAGTCTGAATATCTGGCTGACTGTGCGACAGACCATTAAATATAGTCAATTGGAAAAGGCGGTTTTACTTGGAACAGTTTACATCCTGCAACAATATTTTTAACATCATTAAGAAACATTATCTCCCTATCCCTGGTCCTTGAGAAGGATTTTGTGGGTAGATAAAAATGTCAAATCCACCCTAAACACCTGGTTGATTGCGCGATGAACCATGATAATTAACTTCAATAGCACTTTTAAACTAATGAAACTGTGATTAAACTCTTCATGATAAGATCTAAATGTAAAACAATTTTTTATCACGTAGTTGCTAAGATTGTCTTCAAATTTAACACAATAGAACTACAATATTAAGCTTCTCACGGAACAAAAAAGCCCAAGCAAATGTAAATTAAGGAGTTTCATGGTAAGCTATTTTGGGCCACTCCTATGAAACATGCATGAAACGAACTTTTTGAAAGACACTCTATATTTGATTAGTTTGGAGGTCATCATCATAATTATTATCAAAAATCATACTGGACTGATCTTCTAGCATACCTGAAATGTGAGCCTTTTATTTCCATTTTTCATTGATGCTTTATCTAAAACTGACAGACTGGTTAAATAGGTTCAAGCTATATATTATAAAATTAGATTTTTTTCAACAATCATTGTAAAAATCACAATTTTAAATAAAATAACAGACTAAGTTTGGTGAAAGCAGACATGAAAGCATCTGATATTCTTTTTTGTGCCTATGCTGGGGGAAACGGGAGGGAGGTACTGTTCATTCGTGCTACAATAAAGAATGGTTTGCCATGCTATACAAAACTGATCAGCATACAACTCAACTGCTCTCATTGTTAAAATCGAACTAAATGAAGGCAATATTGTTCAAACTGGAGTACAGTTGAAGATGATTTAACAAGCATTATCACACAATTAAAATAAATGTGTTGATTGATTATTGAATTAAATAGACAAATGCATAACATTATGCAGAAAATCATCTTCTGAATTAATATTTCTGCATTGAGAAATATGTTCTGTTTTCAATGAAAACTGCATCATTGCGGTTTGGCAGCACAACTCATTTAGAATTACAGATCAAGCTTGTCTCCTTACTTTTCCAATAATTAGAATTGATGGTTTTAATAATTTCCATTTTTCATCCATCTGCATCTCAGTCTTTGAATTAAAGTGTGGCTTATATCTTTTTTTTTTCATTTCTATAGATATATAAATCCTACTTCTTCCATGTATTTCACATTATGTTTACTGTACAGATTTGTATTTTAAATGCACATTTCTTACCTCTATCATTGCCAAGTCAATATTTCAAACAGTGAAATAGAATGAAGAGTTAGACAGGGTCAATCAAACAGGTTGTATTTCAATACCTTACTAAAAGCAATAAGGGAAATATTGAGAAGGCTATATCCATCATCGCAGTTCTATATTAATCGATATATTTTCTGATGTGTGCATATAAAATGTTTGATACTCTTTTGTATTTAGTTCACCAGGTGTTTTTCAATGAAAAAAGCCCCTTGTAAATGTCATGTGCATTATGAAAAAGGCCCTTAGTAAATATCACATGCATTTGTTTCCCATATGTTCTATCACTAAGTTGTATCAAATCACTAAGAAAGATATTGTCATGTCTTACAGACAGCTTGTGTAGCACCTGTATTAAGGAAGGAGTATTTCACGACTAGATGTGGCAATAATTAGACTTCATTCAGATCTGTAACTGAAAACCTGCTGAAAGTTATCAGCAATTGCATTTCAATAATTACTTTTTAATCCATTTGTTTTTAAGCTTTGTGCTACAGATAAAAACCTGGAATTTGATAGAGACTTTCGGATTAAGCATTATGCTGGAGATGTTATGTAAGTTTATTTCTCATATTTCTTGTCCTGATTCCTATTAAAACAGTTTAATGCATAGTTGCACTTTGTTTTTCCTTCTGTACTTTTTTGCTTTTTTGCAATGTAGGAAAACATCTGAAATTATTTCATTATGATATCCAAGTGATTGGTGTAGCATATATACTATATTGTACTATAAAAATCAGGACATCTTATTGAGAACATGAGGTCCATTTTCTGCCTTATTGTTCCACGCATGATGGTATATTCTCCTCCTCCTCCCTCTTTTCTTCAAAAGCTTAAGATAAATTAAACCTGATTTCTTTTTCAACTCTGTGAGATATATTGGACTGAGAATGAGAGTAACTGATCTAAAACAGTTAGTTTCCAGGATTTAGGTCTCCTTAGTCATAGTAATATATCTTAATTACTAAGGTATAATTCTGAAACAGTAATTTATGAGTTTTGACAGGGTTGGGGAAAATTAGGACATTGATTACTGAGAGAATATGTGAAAGTCCAACCCAAATGCTTCCCAGTACTTCCAGTTTAAGAATTGGAAAAAGCCTCTGCTGAGACTAGGACACAATTCATAGAGTTGATAATGCTAAGAAACACAAAAGTACTTAATTGTACAGAAGATAGTTCTAGCAGTATAGCCTTTATACTATGGAAATATAAATATGCCTTTCCCCTACCCCCAATTTAAATGTATGCTATGAAGTTAAGGTAAATAAAAAGCATGGTGAAATATGGAAAAAAGAGAAGAACAGAAATATAACTTTGCCATCCTCCAAAGCAGCATAAACAGTCATTTCAGCTAAAACAGCAGCTTTATGATGAAGCACAATTTTAGGAATCGTTTGTTTGTTTGTTTGCTTGTTTTGCTGCAGAAGTTTTTCAATGATAACAAACATTTCTAACCTTCCCTAAAACCTGATACCATTAACTGGGTAATTCTCCATCAAAATTCCTTCTATGTTGCACAAATTTAGTTTTGCATTTAAAAAATAATAATTTGGTAAAAATGCATTGTAAGTTTAGTTGCAGCAAAGACTTTTTGTAAAGTCATGGTGATCAATTAGAAAACTGTGACCTCCATAATATGCTCCTTTTTTGGTGTTAGGCTGACAGCTTGGTTTTATATTTAGGTCTAATTCTATTGTATTTCCTGCATTAAGATGTGCAAAACATATTTGGAAAATGTTACAGAAGAGGTATAATTTTGACACTTATTTCCATGATAAACTAAAGACTTTCTGCATGTGATACATGGCAGAGGTGGCATTCAGCCTCTTCACACTGGTTTGGGTAAAGTAGTAGTGAAAATTTTGAATAGTTTGGAGAACCGGCAAATTCCACCACTGGCTGGTCCTGCTCCCACTCACCCCACTGCCCCACCCCACCACTTCTCATCTTGCCTCCCCAACATAGCTGTTGATTCTGTTTGGCTCCTTGCGTGCGTTGACCACACAGTCTCTGCGGGCCAGCTAGCTTGCCTGCTTTCCAATGCAGTACCCGCGGCCCAACTGAGTGGCCCTGATCGGCCTGGGTAAACGGAGTCGTGGCCCAGCTAGCTGCCTCCCACTGTCCCACGTGGCGCCACCAGCTTGCCTGCCTATGTTGCAGCCTGCCATGCTGGCCGCACCACCCAGCTGATATCCACGCCTTGCCCATTCTGCTCACTGCGGCTGCCTGCGAAGGTAAGGTGCTTGGCCAAAGGGCCGCCTCAGGGTGGACATGGCAAGGCTCAGCCGCCTTTCAGGCTTAGCTCTTACCAATCACCATCCTTCTGCCTGCATGCCTCTCAGTCTCCCTTTGCTTCAGGTGGGGGGACGCACCATTATCCGGCTTTAGTCTGGAGCCTCTGCCCGCTCACCATTTGCCTCAGCCAGGTCGGGGAATGCACCATTCCCCTTCTCCAGCCTTGTCCCAGGCCTCCGCCTGCATGCCGCCGCACCCCCAGCCTCAAATGACGGCTCCCTGGGCCAAAGCAATTTATTCAGCCTGTGGCCTGCCGCACTAGGCCAAAGGGACATGTGGGGGGATGGCCTGGGCACAGGAGGGCCGAAGTGGTTTGGGAATGCACTGGAAGGTTCTTCTTACCTGTAAGAAGTCCTAGCCAGAAAGTGCTGCAGCGGAGATCTTGCAGCCACTTCTTCTGTCCCTTGCCGAGCCTCAGTTGCTCACGGAGATGCTCCATTTGCTCTCCGGTCGGCAGCTGTTTCTCTCCGCTGCTGCTCTTGCTGGGAGAGCATCTTAATGCAATATAGCAGCTGTAAGCCACCGCTTTCCTCTAAGTCCAATCCAGAAAGTGCTGCGGCACAGAGAAGCAGCAGCCATGTTGAATGCTGTTTCTCTCAGCCGCAGCGCTTTCCAGATGGGAATTAGAGGTAAGTGGCAGCTCACAGCTGCTACATTGCACAAGACACTCTCCCAACAGTGCGGAGAGAAGCAGCCACTGCCCCGGAGAGCAGAGGTGGAGGGGAGCAGGCCCCCAAAGGCTGCTCAGTTAAGCCTCGCCGCATGACAAAAACCATACACACATGCATGCATGGAAGCCATATGCATGCGCATGCATGGAAGCCATATGCGCGTACACACACTCACATTTTTGGTGGACTAGTGGTGAAATTATTTGAAACCCACCACTGATTAAGAGATATAAATATTTAAAATCAGTTTATGGCTAGTGAAGTCCTCAAGCCATTTAATTATTGCATGGGAAAATGGAGTACCAGAGATTGCAAAATGGCATTGTAAACAACTAAAAGTGCCTCTTGATCATTCACTTTGGTCCAATTGCATTATAAGTCTTTAAAACTTCTAAAGATGACACTGATGATGAAGAGAAGGAGGAATATTTACTGTCCTTTGACTTCAAGTATTGGAAAACTGCACGGTGTTTCCTGAACACTTTTTTCCTTACCATTATGTTTTGAATATTATCCATTTTCATTAGACTTTTTAGATTTTTATTTTTTGTTGATTTCTATTTAGGAGGGGGGGTTCTTATTTTCTGTGTCCAGGTACTAATTCTACCCAAGTAGTTAGTAGTTCAGTGCAGCTAATTACCACTTTTTTATATTTATCAGTTATTCGGTCACAGGATTCATTGATAAAAATAAGGACACTTTATTTCAAGACTTCAAGCGTTTGATGTATAACAGGTAGGAATAACTTTAACTATCCATTTATTTCTTTACCTGGAATAGGCCAAATATGACTATATTGTTGCCTTTTTTAATTCTTTCTTGTATTTTGTAGTTCCAACCCTGTGCTGAAAAGGATGTGGCCGGAAGGCAAACTGAGTATAACAGAAGTGACCAAGCGGCCACTGACTGCTGCTACACTTTTTAAGAACTCAATGATTGCCTTAGTGGACAACTTGGCATCCAAGGTAAGATCATAATCATATCATAATCATAAATTTATTTGTCAAGCATATATAAGATAACAGGTAAAAGTCTAAACATAATTTGAGTACATGAAAAGAGTAAGTAAAAAGGAATATTAGGACAGGAACAGTAGGCACGCTGGTACACTTATGCCAATACCACAAGAAAGCATATCAACCCAGTTGCAAGTCATGTCCCTCCAAAGTCAATAATCTTGTATTCCTCAATACAATCCATTCTTTCATCCATGTTAATACCGTGGCCTGGGAATACAATTCCCAATTTGGTAATTCAAAACCTCCTCTACTTCTTGAATCCTGTAGCATTTTTAAGCTAATTCTTGCTTTTTTCCCCTTGCCAGATATATTTTAATATTGTTTTATTAAGTTCCTCAAAATATTTTTTTTCCAATTTTATCAGAATTGTTTAAAATAACAATAATCTTGGCAATATATTTATTTTAATTGTGGATATTCTTCCTATCAACAATAATTGCAGATTCTTCCATTTTTCCAGATCTATTTTATTTTGTTGCATCAGTTTGTAATAATTATCTTCCTTAATCGTTACACATCTTGCTGTCAGCTGAATCCCTAAGTATTTTACTTTCTTAGTAATCTGAATACCTATTCTCTTCATTAACTCTTTTTTATGTTTATCTGTAAGATTAATGCAAAGCAATTTTTTATGTGGAACATGACATAGAATTTTTGATTTTAAAGATTGTAGATTAGCACTTCTCAAAAAGATTCCTTTTGAGTTTATTCCTTCTGTTTTATGGTTTGGGATACCTTAAGAAATATGGTGGCTGAACACAGTTAAATCTATTTTACCTATTTTTTTAATAATGAATAATTTGGTTAACTTTCATCCTTTTTTCAGAAAAATGTATTCCTCCCTTTACTCCATTTCAGTGACAGATTACTTTTCTTTCATTGATCTCATTTTTTAAATTATCTATATTTGCCTTACAAAGTACTGTAGCCCTGTTTACTATTATGGGTATGTGAGAGAAGGAGATAAATAAGTTACAGTATAGGCTACAGCTTGTCCACTTCCCTCTGTCTGTTTTTTGATTAGTGTAATATTTGATGATAAATATACAATACGTAAAATAAAATAATGTATAGTGTATTTTGACAGTATGATTTGTAATAAATTTGACAGCTTTACATTTTTGTCAAGAAAAGAGACTCTTGTTCTAAAATAAGAACATAGTAAATCATCTTGTTCTATTGAATAAATCAGACCATGGTCCGTCTAACAATACTGCCTATACTAAGTGGCAGCAATTCTTCAAGTTTCTGACTGATTTATCTCAGGGCCGCTTGGGATTCCTTTTAATGGTAGAAAAAAGAGGAGTAGAAATGTTATTCTAATAAATGAATGGTTACATTGTGCTTTAACAGTAAATTACACACATCTCTTTGTCCTGAAAACAGGAATAAGTTTTGTTTAGTTAGCAGTATTGAGTGTGAATTTTTAGGAAATGTCTTATATCCTGGAGTTGAGAAGGAATGGGCTAAGGTTAGGGACAGTGTGGGTTCTAAAAATTTTTATTATCGGTTCTGTGGGCGTGGCTTATTTGTGGGCGTGGCTTGGAGGTCATGTGACTGGGTGGGGGTGGCTATGTGTATAGGGACTACTCAGAGGGCTGAAAAAAGTCATTTCTGACAGGTCCTCGCACTTTTGACTGGTCCTCACACTTATGACCATCCTCAGATTTATGCCCGTGCAGCATTCTTAACAACCATGTCACTCATTTCACAACTGCTTCTCTTCAACATGGTGATAAGATAGGGCAAAATACGTAAAATGTGAGGACAGTCGTAAGTTTGAGGACTGGTCAAAAGTACAAGGACCAGTCAAAAATAACTTTTTCAGCCCTCTGAGTAGTCCATATGCACAAAAGGACTACCCAGAGGGCTGAAAAAAGTGATTTCTGACAGGTCCTCGCACTTTTGATCGGTCTTCGCACTTATGACTGGTCATCATTTATGCCCATTGTAGCATTCTTAACAACCGTGTCACTCATTTCACAACTGCTTCTCTTCACCATGGTGACAAGATAGGGCAAAAACATAAAATGTGAGGACAGTCGTAAGTTTGAGGACTGGTCAAAAGTGTGAGGACCAGTCAAAAATAACTTTTTCAGCCCTCTGAGTAGTCCATATGCATAAAAGGATACAGCAATAGAGAGGGATGAAGGAAGGGAAGGGAAATTAGAGTAGGATTGAGGGTAAGAGAGGGAGGAAGAGAGGAGGAGGAGAAAGGAAGAGGAAGTAAGGAGGGGAAGAGAAAGTAAGAAGGAAAGAAAAGAGAGAGGTGGTAGGTTTGAGGAGAAAGATTGCTGTACAATAAAAAAGATGAAAGGGAACAAAGCCAACCTGAAACAAATATAAAGATATTAAGATCAAGAATGAATTGTTAAACTTTAAAGAATAAAAGAGAACAAATATGAATAAATAGCAGTAATTAGAAACACACATACAAACATACAATATATTTTCTTTGAACAGAGTATTTGGCCGGTTCACAAATTTAAAACAGTGTTTAGTCATTTCAACTAAATTTACAATTTCTATATTTCCTTTTTGCCATATTTATTCCTCATCTATTTTTTAAAAAAACTAATATTACCCTTCATCCTCATCTCTAATCTTAATCAAATTCAATTTTTCCCTTCTATTCTATATTCTGCCCTTCCCATTGTCATCTATTTTTATATCCATCCTCACATTGGTTAATTATGTAATATTACAGTTGTTTAATACAAATTCAACATTTTAATATAAATCAATTAGTTATATAACTATCTTTTTTGTATATTAATCAATATGAACATGAATATTCCAATTATTTCCATGCAATCCAATTTCTTACAAATCAGTTAATTATATTTATCAATAATAATAAACCAAATAATTTCCCCCATATATTCCTCCAAACCACAACTTAACCATTTCTGCTTTCAACACAATGTACAATTAATAGTATCTCAATTACTACAATTCCCTAGTTAAATAGAGCTTTTTTTCTTTTGTGTTTTAAAATCTTGAACTCTCCTCTTTTGCCCTAAATTTCCCATTGTTTGCAGTTTTGCACCTACCTTTTTTGGTGAGGAAAAAGAAAAAGAAATCTCTCTCTGCCTCATTTTGTCATGTTGCAGCAAAGACCCTGCTTTACTTTCAGTTTTGTTTTTTCAGCATAGCTAGGGGGGAAAAAAATCTGCTCCAGCACTCTTTGCAGAGCCCTGCGCAAAACAGCTGAGAGCAAATCAGCTGAGAGTCGGGAGGCCGATCTAATCAATTTGTACTAATTAACCTATGCTGAAGCTGAAAGGGGCTGTTTTTTCTATTTTTGCAGGCACCGGTCTACTCATTTGTTTTCTTTTAACACTGATCAGCTGTAGGGCGGCCCTTTGAAGCCCAGTGGCAAGAGTTTAAACAGGTTTTTTCCCTCTAGCCATCAGCTGGGACTCAGGAGGCAGCAGTAGATTGGGAGGGGTAAGCGAACGGCAACCGGGCCAGGAACTGGTTCGGGGGCATGGCCAGCCAATCTTATTACCGGTTCTCCGAACTATTAAAATTTTTTACTACCAGTTCTTAAGAACCGGTGCGAACCTGGAGCAACCCACCACTGGTTAGGGATCCAGCATCTACAGGGCCATCTCTTCCATCATAAATGGCTTTTAAGATCCAAAGAAGGTACTTTTTAAAAAAATACAGTCTCTATCAGAGATGTATCTTTTTGACATTTAGAAGACAGCCTTCTTCTGTATTGTTCTATTCAACCCAGTCACTGGCACTTGCAGTTGCATTTAGAAAAATCTGTAAACATCTCTTTAACAGCCAGAAAATCTGTAAAAAGATATAATTGTATTGAACTTTTAATTATTAATTGTATTAATTTCATTATTTTAATGTATTTAATTTATATTTCTGTATTCTTTTTATTTTTAAATTTGGGCAGCAACTTTGGGAATTAACCTAAACAGAAAGGCTTAATCTATTCATATGCATAATTTTAGAAAAACAGAGCAGGCCTTCCTTATAAAGTAAAAGGACAGAAATGTTTGAGGAAATTATTTCACAAATGAGTAGGAACTAGCTTTTTTTATTTGGTCTCAGTTCTTTATTTAAATGACAGTTGGGAATTTTGCAAGTAGGAGAATTTCCCTACCATCTTTCAACCCTATATCCAGCAAAGATCTGTGCTCTCAGTGTAGATCAGGGGTGTCAGATTTGATTTCATTGAGGGCCACATCAGGATTGTATTTGACCTTGGGGGCGGGGCTGGGGGATCATGGCCAGGCTGGGGTGGGCATGGCCCTCTGCCAGCAAAAATGGAACCCAGGGGGGGCTTGCATGGCCCCCGGGACCCCGTTTTTGGCTGGGACGGCCTCCAGCCCTCTGCCAGCGAAAACTGAGCTCAGGGGGGTGCATGTGCCCATCTGAGCTCCATTTTCGCTGGCAGAGGCACCGCAGGCCGGTCCTTTGCTGTTTCCAGGGCAGCCCTGCAAGCCAGATCTAAGCACCCTACAGTCCGGATCCAGCCTGCGGTGTATATACTTAACAGACTTTTTTAAAAAGAGAGAGATAATAACTAGCAAGGCAACAGAACTAGCAAGCAATAACTATAACTAGCAAGCAGTCTCTTTTATTAGGCAGGATAGTTAAAATCTAGAACAGTCATGGCAAAGGAAAAAAACATATTGGTCAAATTTTTCCTTCATATTTCTTCTTTTCTGTTTTCTTACTGGCTGGCAACTGTTTTCTGAGAAGATCTCTTAATAAAGATATTGCCTTTGAGAATGTTGGATTATCTCATGGCTAACACTACTCCTATTACATAGGATGCTCAGTACTTCTCTTTATTTCTAAGAGTTGCATGGCAAGGAAAATTCTGCCAGCTACAGTTTTTATAATTGCAGGCTGGCAATCTTAAGATGACAGTGAATTTCTATGTAGATTCTCAGTCATCCAGCTCATGGTTGTCCCAGAGGTGCTTTTTCAAGAGGCAACTGGACTTTCTGTTTTTTCTTTGAAGACGTTTCGCTTCTCATCCAAGAAGCTTCTTCAGTTCAGAGCTGAAGAAACTTCTTGGATGCAAAGCGAAACGTCTTCAAAGAAAAACCAGAAAGTCCAGTTGCCTCTTGAAAAAGCACCTCTGGGAATGACAGCGAATGGTAAGAAGTTGTAACAATTGATTAGGATATTAAATTTCATACTTCCTAAACTAGAAAACAAATGACTTTTTTGCTGGATGCCTGTCTCAGGAAGTTCTTGTTTAATCTTTTTACTCTTAATGAGGGAAGCAGTATTGGCTGTTTTCTAGTTGGTGTGGAAATGGATTATAGAAATGTGTAGTCAAGAATGAAGGCATATAGAATAGAACTACAATACTAGACCTATTATTTGCATTGTGGAAATTCATGTAATGATGCTTGTTGTAACTTTCATGATTTTATTTCAGCTGTTTCTAGGAGTCTTGTTTTTCTAATGGAATTTTATAGGAGAAGTTAGGGTTCCTTCTTTAACAATGGTTAAAGAATTAGAATGTTAACTTGCACATTGTCACTTTCCCCTTACTCTTTTATTTTATCTGTTAATTCAAATAATGTTGTTTCTGGTTGGTTTCTTTTAGGAGCCATACTATGTCCGCTGCATTAAACCCAATGACAAGAAGTCACCACAGCTGTTTGATGAAGAACGATGCAAGCATCAAGTTGAATATCTTGGACTTCTGGAAAATGTAAGAGTACGACGGGCAGGATATGCCTATCGCCAAACGTATGAAAAATTTCTTCACAGGTAACAATTGATTAAAACTTTGCAAATTTCTTATATTTAACAATAAAAATATATTTGTGGTTTGATATTACATTAGCATTCTTACACAAATTACAGTTATGTCTTAAATAACTTTAAGAGAAATTATCAAGATTAGTGAGACCAGTTAAAGAAAAACCCATTTTATACTACCTTTAAATATGCTATATAAATGCATGTGTTTTTTATGGAAGAGCAGAACTTTCATAGGATATCTAAAGAATTTTACACAAACCTTTTATTAAAATGCATTACACATTAAATCCAAATGGAACAATTTTTATAAATCTTTTTTCTTGCTCGAGGCACAATTCTCTTTATCAACTAAAGCAAGACCTCTCATACTTACTTAGAACTATTTGGCAAAAGCTAGAACATGCTAAAATTATTATTTGTAAACATGATTAAATTATTCAGCCAAATCCACTTGAATCTTAATTTAATTTAATATTAATTAATTTTAGCTTTGTTAGATATCCAGTGTATTAGAAGGTATTATATATATATATATTTGCAAATAGGCTGAGAATTTTAGTTACAAAAATACACTGAAAAAATAAGATTTGTCTTATCTGCAGATGGGTTTATATGTAAACCCAACAATTTAGTTTGCATATCATTTATTCTGTGCCTTAGGCAATTGTAGCTTGTTCAGTAAACTACTGAATAACAAACCAAGGATTAGTGATATTTCACAGTTATTGAAAATTAGCATTTTGTAATACATATTTAAGATTTCCTAATTTTATATCAAGACTGTATATTTATTTTCTTTCTATGGGAAATCTACTTTAGCAAGATAATATTGGTTTTTGTGGACATTCCTGCCATATTACTATCACATTTAATAATGGCAAACAATGTTTTTTTTTTAATAATACTTGTATCAATGAAGGTACAAAATAATTCCTGAATTTACTTGGCCAAATCACAAACTACCATCCGACAAGGAGGCTGTGAAGAAATTGATTGAGCACTGTGGGTTTCAAGATGATGTGGCATATGGAAAGACGAAGATTTTTATTCGCACACCACGAACACTCTTCACGTTGGAAGAAATGCATGCCAAGATGCTTGAATGGGTGGTTCTCTTTCTACAAAAGGTGAGAAGCAATACTGAAATTTCTTATAAAAATAATCTACATCTGATATCCATAGAGTCATGGAAAAACATAACTTGTAAAATAAGTTGCCTTTAATCATGTACTAGTCCTGGTGACTTATATGTACACATGCATATAGTTTTCTTGGCAGTGATAAGGGAGTGGTTTGCATTTCCTTCTTATAGAATGTTGTTGTTATTTTCCCTTTCAGATTTAGCATATTTCCAATTTGGCTTTAAGGGGTTAAAATAGATGAAAAACTAAACTGGATTTGAAAGACCTGTTCAGTCTTGTTCTGTTCACATGTTGGCCATCCAGATGTCTGTAGGAATCTTACAAACTGAATAATAGCACTTTCCTTCTCATATTTCCCAGGAAATAATCCCAGAGAAACAACACATTGCTCACAAGAGGGGTTGTTACTTAAATAATATCCATTATTGTCTTTTCCTCCATTAATTGATGTCATTGATACTTAAAGCCATTCAGGTGATAGTAATTGATACATCTTGATGAAGACAATTATATAGTTAAGAATATGTTGCATAAAAAAGTCTCTATGTCCATTTAGGATCTTTGGTTGATCTCAATTCAAATATTATTGAAAAGAGAAAGGAAAACAATTTCATACCTTTGCTTCATATAATGTGTAATAGCTTATTTCAGGGGCATGTTCTCTTTTATTCGGTCTTTTTTTTTCAATGCTAAAAACTCCCTAATGTTCCTACAGCTCTTGGATAATTTTTCTTGCCAGTCACACACTTCTGCATCAGCTGCTGCTGCTGTGAATCCCCCAACAGTAATTTTAGCAATTGCTTATTATTGGCAAAGAGCTAACAGTGTTTGTTAAAAAATATTTTGTGGAGTCCTTAGTGCTCTCTGGGCTTGGTTGTTTGCTTGCAGAGGTTTTATTACCCAACTAGGTAACATCATTAGTGCAGTGAAAAAATGTTTTATTATTGCTACCAAAACCCAATTTCTTCTTAAGGAAACTTGTCATTCAAAGCAAATAAGTTGAAATATAACAACCAAATTTGCTTTGCAGACGTAAGCGATTTATTATTCTCTATTGTCTGTTTAACTCATTAATTATTTAAACATTGATTGATTGATTTTCATAATCTAAGTAGTAAGCTGATGGTTATATGAGAAAATGAGTAAAACATATTTGAACAAGATGGAAATCTATGGTAGGAATAGGGATTAGAATTCTTTTTTTTTTAATTGAAAAAGTTTTTCAAATACAAAATTTTCCCCCTTTCCCCCCCCACCCCCCTCCCCCTCCCCTCCCCCCATGGCTTCTGCAAGATGAAATCCAAATTAATATCACATTATATAATACTTTACCACCCTTTTACACCACCCCCTATGTGCTAAACATTTCTTTCTAACATTATTATTATGTCTCCGGTATACTATACATTTCAAAACAGCATTCGGCTATAAAACTATATAATAGATCCTAATTTGGCATTTATTCTACTCATAATCTACCCATTTCCTCCACCCCCATACATATATCTCTTAATTCAAGTCTTTTAAGTATATTAATATCTAAACATAACATCCCTTTTCCTAAACTAAGCAATCAGTAACGTTACCTATCACCTTGTACCATATCAATTTTGTTTCACCCACTTTCCTACAGGTCTACCATACATAATATATTTAATATCTTTATTCTTCTGCCCGTATCACTAAAAGATATTTCCATATATAAATAAAACCCTCAAGTGACTTTAAATTTGTATTCCATATAATATCTTCTGTAATGTCTTTCAGCTAGATTGTTAATTCCATCGACCATGTTAGGGTAATATCAAGTCCTACTTCCAACAGGATATTCAGTATCTTCAATTACCATCTGCCCCCATCATTAATAAGTGTTTCTGTATATAAAAGAAACCCCCCGAGTGACTTTATATTTATATTCCATATGGTATCTTCTGTAATGTCTTTTGTCTAGATTATTAATTCCAACAACCACGTTAGGGTAACAGCCAGTTCATCTGCATGCCCCAATTCCATAGTTCTCTTGCCTTATAGCTCAACATATACGTAATCCATTTTTCAGAGAGTCCAAAATAGAAAATTCCAATCCACTCAATCACAGGCCATCTTCCACATCCCAAAAACACCAGCACTGCAGAGATCTGTTATTCTTCTCAAAATAGTATAAGTCTATAATTTGCCTCAGGTATATTTTCATATATCAGTCTTCTATAAATCCCGCTTATTATATTTAATCGTTTCTTAAATAACTGGCATTAATCTGTTGGCTAAAAAAGAATTGTAGTTTAAAAATTTTTAGTTTTGTAGAACCTGCTTCTTCTTTTCTTAACTTGTTGTGGTTTAGATTTCCACTCTGGTTGCCTTTCTAGGACTTGTATATCAGCTGATTGAATTACATGCTGGTCTTTAACTTGATAAGACATCAAATCGAGATCCAAAGCCATCTCTCTTGTATTTATAGGTGATCCAGCTATAGCCTCTGAAGGAGAATCCAAGAGCGGCTCATCCAAAAAGCCCTCTATAACTTGTCGTTTTTCCATTACCTCCATCTCCATCTGCTTGGCCTGAGTTTCAATCTCTTGTTCATTTTGCTTTTCTTTATCCCCCTCCTGAATTCCTGACACTGATGACATACGTGGAGATGTTGGGCCCGTTTTAAAAACCTTGTAGTAAAATTCTTCCGCTTTTTCAACAGTGTTTAATTGATATCTTTCTCCTTGATGTCTCAATATTATACCAACTAGAGCATCCCACCTAAATGGGATGTTTTGTTTCTTTAGCTCAGTCACCAAGAATCCAAAGTCCTTTCTATCTTTTAACATCTTGGACGGCAGCTCTTTATATATCCAGATCTTCATTCCATTCATTTCTAGAGTGGAGTTAAAAGACTTTTGCACAATATCATTTCTTATTCCTTTATCAGTAAAATAAATCACCATATCTCTAGGCAATTGTCTTTGCTTTGCCACCCAAGAATTTACTCTGTAGACCTTATCAATCTTACAGAATACCTCTTCAAAACTAACCTTTAAAATCACAGCCAGAACTTCAGTAGACATCTTTCTCAAGTCCTCCCTGTTATTTTCCTGTATTCCCCTCATTCTGATCGCAAATTCCATGGATCTGAATTGCATCATTGTAACTTCATTTTCAATCCTTTGCTTTATATTATCTACATTGTAAATCTTGTGATCAGCTTCCTTCATTTTAGACTCTACTTCTGAGCTATTTTCTTGAATCATTGTCAGATCATTTTCAATTCTTTGTATTTTATTATCCAGATTATGAATCTTATAATCAGCTTCCTTCATTTTAGACTCTATTTCTAAATTGATATCTTTATCCATCTTTATAATTATTTCTGAAAAACTTTTCAAAGCTGTTACAATATAGCGCTTCAGGTTATCATACTTTTGTTGAACCAACTCTTTAATTTCCTGTCTAAATTTTTCAAGATTCTGGTTCATAATCTCATCATGTCTTGCCAACTCCTCCAGAACAAATTCCTTTAAATCCTTAAAACCATTCTTCTGCATCTGCAAACTCAAAAATTGCTCTTGTGATTTATAATTGGGGGAGCCCCCCCCCCCCACAGCTTGGTTGTCTGGCTTTGTCAGTTTTAACGCCATCCTGCCACACAGACAGACTCTTTTTAAAGAAAGAAAAGGTCTTCTCTCCACACAATATCAATATCAAGTCTCTAAGAAGGAAGAAGCATGAAACAGAAATTTTTCTCTTGTCTTGTAGCCAACGCTATTGTTTCAAATACTTTGTAACATATTAAGCCATTCAAATGGAAAGACTTTCGCTTTCTTCTCAAGCCTCAGCCAGCCGCCATTTTAAACCTTTTTTTTTCCTTTTTCACTCTCTTCATTCAAAATCAATCATAGGGTTGTTACAAATACTTGCAATTTAGAGTCCCAAATCCGGATTTCATCCTGCTTATTCAAGCAATCTATTAGTTTTCGCTGATTAGGTTGGTCACATCGTCTAGCTCTGCAAAGCGCAGAGTTCTCCCGAAGCCCGGAGCAGCGGTGAGCTGGATAGGGAGCCACATCCTGCTTCCTCCCCAAGAGTAAAAAAAAAACTCTGGGGACTTCTCAGAGGGCTCTACCTGCTCTCGCCGGCTCACCTCACATTTCCTTAAGGAAACGGAGTTTTTCGAGCCACCTCCCAGCTGTAAAGGCAGCTCTTTACGGGCGGTAGGGGTGGCGGTCCCAAAAGACCGTCTAGCGACGACGGAAGCCAAACCGGAAGCCAGGGATTAGAATTCTTAATAACACAGGCTCTAATTTGAAGCATCATATTATTAACTGATGCTTCAAATTAGAGCCTGTGTGATTAAAAATTCCAGAAATGAGGGCTATTTTCATTAGATGACAACCAGAAATAATTCCTGATAAATATTTGTTCTCTGTTTCTTAAACGCAGACATACAAACACAGTTGTAATACATTGTTTATTAAATAATGCCATTATTTAATTTTATGAAATTGGCTTTAAGACTTTAGGCTACTTTTGGCTTGTTTATTTTATTGATACTTCTTTGCCATGAAAAAAGATGGTATCTGCTATTACTGATTAAAAGCTTGTTATAGAAACTAGGCAAAAATACTTTAGGTCCATGATGGCGAACGTATAGCACGCATGCCAGAGGTGGCACACAAAGCCCTCTCTGCTGGCACGTCGCTGTCGCCCCAGGTCAGAACTCCCTGGTGTTTCTTTCGTGAGCTTATTTCCCTGCAAACGACAAAACAGAAGCTCACCAAAGAAAACTTCTTGCCACACTGCCGGTGTTGAGATGCCCCACCTCCCACCAGCCAGCTGGTCTTTGGGTCTCTGCTGCGCATGTCAGTGTGCATGTCCATGCATGCGCACATTTGTGCCTGTCTGTGCATGAACATGTTTGTACATGTCCATGCATGCACGCCTTTCAAACCTTTAAATTTGAGCATGCGCGCATGTGCAGTTTGGGCACTTGGTGCCTA